ATTCTAAAATTCTCAATCAACTAATTTTCACACATGCAACTAACATTTAAACAAAAATCATTTAATATATTTTATACTGGTATGTAGGTTTTCTAACTCATAAGCTGATTTTGATAAAAGATCTCAGTAAGAATTTAAAGAAACAATCCGCAAATATTAAAGCGAAAATACCTGTTTTTTAGCTATGCTGAGGAACAAACATAAAATAACAAAAATTTAAGGCATAATAAAAAGCAAGGAAATAAAAAATCTCGTTTTAAATGACGTTGCATAATTAATGCATATGTAATATGGATGCTAAATAAGTTATGACCAACTTAATGATCACTAATTCAAAATATTTCAAGGCCTTTAACGTTCCCAATTTAAATTCCAATCTACCAAATACATTAATATAATTTGAATTCGTGACTATTATCAGGTCCATATACAGTATAAAATCCAGATCCCACAAGAACCAGTATAACTATCAAATTATACTTCTATACCGCACCTTAATTTCGTAATAGTTCCTAAAATATTTACTGTTGCAAAAAACGTCATAAAGTAAGTTTTTCTAAATGTAAAGGGTATCAGAAAAAGTTGACACACACACACACACACACTACACCTAATAACTGAGCATCAGTCGAATCCTTATTACAGAAACTCGATGGTTTTTAAGATCCAACTTTCTAATTGGAAAATGAATGAGTGAGCATCAAAAGTATTGTTTAAAACGGATCTTCAACAGTGGTTAATCTTGCCACATACCAAAACATTTTCGAGGGTGTAAGGATGGATGGATTTTGTTTGAAAAATTTCCTGTATTCTCAATTTCATAGAATATTTTATTAATCAATACCATCAACCTTTCTACTTTCATGATAATTTTTTCTAATTACAAACTCAGTTAACTATGGGATTCGATAAGCTCTATTTTTTTTCCTCGTTACCAATATCCATTCATGACAAGCCATGTAATTTTTACTAATTTAATTATTAATTAAGCTTATTAATATTAATTAAGTTAATTATTCATCAAATTCAATTATTGACCCCTCATTTTGAATATCTTCTCTTTCAGGTGGGAAAAATCGTCACAGTCCCTCGAAATTTCATGAGAAAATATTACATGGTGGGCCAGCGTCTGTCCCCCCTACCGTGGCCACCGTCTCCTCCCCTCCCCCACATCCCTATAAATTGCGTATCGTTGTGTTCCTTGTAACTATATATTAAAAAAAATTCAATCTACCTACAAAAAAAACTGAATGCACTACCCCAAAATGGCGTCCAAATATTGACGACTTTGACTTTAGTTAGTTTTTTGGTCACTGAGAATCAGCATTAAGTGTCCAATTTCGTCACATTCGGTCTTTTATTAAAACTGAATAGTCACAAAATAATAAAATATGAACAAATATTAAAAAATAATTGTCTTAGGCAATAAAAAACACCAGTCAAGTCAATTCTTTAAAGAGAAAATTTATAAGTTGAAAATCAAGCGTCGTTTGTAATTAAACGGCCAACAATAACGAAAAACGTACTGAAATAAAACATCTGGAAAATATATTTCTTTTTCTAAAACACTGATCACTTTTTAAAATATTTGAAGCAGTTTCGTAGAAAATGCACATAAGCGGCAGAAAAGCGGTACTGGCCAAGGTGCCTGCAGACCTCTTCCACACCATTCAGTACTCATAAATGGCTTAGTTATAGTTATGTGGGGGGATCGTACGGTAGGGGGGTCTGGTCCACAGATTATATAAGGAAGGAAAAGAAGCTTCATTCTTTAGTAAATGAAAAAAATCATCGTGTTCCGATCATTATTAGCTGAGACACAGGCTATTGTAATTTATAAACATTTCGATTCAAACCCTGAAGGAAATATTATATTAATTTTATTTTTTCTTCATGGCATTCACATTTACAAGTGTGATTTTTATACAAACTTTTAAATTTGTCGGTATTAGGATTTGTTTATTTGCAAAGAATATTGAGCTGGGAACAAATGCCAGAATAAATAATTCAATAATAATGATAAAGAAATAAATAATGCAACTTATCATGAGACGAAGGAATAATTTAATATTTTTTTCGGTAATTGTAATTGACCAAGGAAAAAAAAATTTCCTTCATATCTTGAATCGAAATGTTTACGAATTACAACAGCCTGTGTCTATGCTAATAATGGTTGGAACGCGATGATTTTTTACGTTCAGCAGGGAATTAAGTAATATTTAAATTAAAAAAAACATAATTACAAGCCTGAAAAAGCTTTTTGAGTTGTTCGCTTTGTTTAGTGACTAGTTTAGTAATATCGGTTTATTATTTCCAGTAATCTACTTCTGTAATCGACCAAGAAAAATAAATGTCAATCCTCTTCCCTATAATCCGTGTGTCGAATTTATTTACCATTGTTTAATAAATTAAAGTGATTATAGGTTAGACCTCTTATTTTCCTGTTTTTTTTTTTTCATTAAACTTTCTGATTTATCAGGTGCCTTCCACTCTTCAACACACTATTATATGATTTATTTAGTTTTTTTCAGCTAGCCTTTTTGGATATACGGGTTTTTCCCAGGCCAGAGATGAGGAGGAGAGAATAATGCTAGAATTGAAAGTCTCTCAGGCACCTGGATCTTAACTCGTTATATTCAGTTTGTTAGGTTGCCGAGCAACGAGTACGTTACACATGTCATTGATGTTATAGTGGTTTGTCACAGATAGCTTAATGATATCCATTCTGATCAAAATCCATTAGAACTGATTAATCCCCTTGATTTTAAATACAAATTTCATTTTTTTTTAAAACGTGAGTAAGAGTTAGCGATTATTTGAATAAACATATAAGATTTACCCCTCTTTACGTAAAAGTTTCTTATATTGGTCTAAAATAAATAATTTTTAAAGTACAATTTGGTAAATGATTTTTTATGTCATTTACAATAATTAGTGACTAATAATTCATATATGATAATAACTACTATGATTAATATTTCATTTATAATAATTAACCCCTTCAACTTAATTTTTAGTTCGAACATCATTATATCTTGGGGCTTAACAAGGTCGAACGAATACGAGATGCAAATCAGGCGATCTAGGTAAAAGTTTTGCATTTAATAGGGCTTAACCATACTCGGCAAACTATCGTGTGTTACTTGTGAAGAGTTAGGAAACACGCTATAACCTGGTACTTCTTTAACAGAACAAATGCTACCTGCATGTTACCTAGACGTGGGGATATTCTTCAGCAAGCCTGTAATTTCAAACTAGCTTTCATTAACTCTAAACGATATCGTGCGAGATTTCACACCATTGGTTGTTTGCGTAATTTTTAAATAACAATTACCAATCTTAACTACTTCATAACATTATATTCATATTCATAGTAAATCAATGATTTGTTGAATTATATATATATATATATATTTTATTTTTTATTTATTAATACATTACTTAAAATTGAACATAAAAATTAAATTTGCGATCTGCAAATTTCTTAGCAATGGGCAAATTTTTTGTCAGCTTCACAGCGTCTCATCACAATCCAGGAAATAGTTCAGTTCAGTAGGTCTCTTGGTCATCGCCTACGTAATCGTCGAGTTGGGCTCTCCGGGTTTCTAGTGCTTTTAAGGTTTTCTGTCAGAGGATTTGTGTTGTAAGCTAGTCTTTGGTGAAAGTTATTGTAGTTTTCTTTTATGGTGTCTAAAATTGTTGGGATGTTCAAGTCTTTATGTAATCTATCGTTTGCAACATAAAATGACGCGTCAATTATTCTTCGTAAAATTTTGGATTTGAAAGACTGGATTTTTAATATTGGAAGTTTTAGTAGAGCCCCACAGTTCTATGCCATAAGTCCAAATTGGTTTAAGTAAAACTTTATAGAGTTAGTTTGTTAGTCAAAGATCATTTTGAACGTCTATCAAGTAACCTAGATAAAAGACCGTATCGTCTGTTTAATTCCATACGTTTTTGTCTAATGTGTGTCCTCCAAGTTAGCCTTTTGTCCAGGTAAAAACCCAAATATTTAATTACATCGGATGCAGGAATTTCAATGTTATTAAAATATATTTCGGGGGAAAGGGTATGATTAAGAGTGAATACTACTTACACACTTTTTTTTTTCATTTATTTTAATTTTCCACCTTGTGGCCCAATCAGCAATATCGTTCTAGTGGTTTTGAAGAGTGGTGGATGCTCGAATAGAATTTTTATCTAATATATTTTTAGAAATCTAGTCTCAATCATGAATCAGACAATAAAGTAGACCGCCGAACAAAGTTTTTTTTTCGTTCGATCCTTAAGTGCGAATGTAAGAAAATACATTTTACAATACATTATAGATATAAGAACATACATTATAGATTTTGATCAATTTAATACGGGACCATCTAAGCAGCAGGCCTTACAATCCCTAAAAAAATTATGAAGATTGTATTAACAGTATTATGGGATAAGCCCTTCACATAGATTTACTGTAGACACTCATGGTCTTATTCTTCAACTAAAGACGATATTTGAAATTTTCTATTCTGAACACAAATATTTTCACCCTTTTGGGCGAAGGGAAAATTACGCTGTCTTTGGTAATGTGGAAGCAAAACATTTTAAAATTTCACAATACTGCGACCCTTACCGAAAATACAAGAAATAATTTATGTATTGGAATTTGTCACCAAAATTATTATAGCATGTCGTATGAGTTGGACATACACCGGTTAATTTTTCTAGGGTCAAGAGAAAAATATATAATTACCAATCTAGTTCAATTTTTTAAAATAACATTAGCTCCTGCTATAAAAAAGCAAAAATGAGCTCTTGGATATCTGCCAATGTTCAAGCGAATGAACAAAAAATTTGCTAACGAACCAATCATTACTACAGATATATATAAACTTTTATTTGTTTTTAACATGAAAGAGTTGTAAAAACGTACCAGGAAATGATCTACTGAGCCATAAATCAGCGTTGAGTACAATAATATCAACACATTTTTATGAGACTTCTTTCCCTATTTATGACCAATTTGCTGGTCGATGAAGGGTATTTATTCCAATATATTCTATTCCATCAAGTGAAATAATATCAGGTAACAGTAATAACTGTAAAATTCAACGAGCGAAATTAATTAATAATTATTTAAGATTACAACATTAAACAAATCATAGTTTATTTATTCTTAAATAGATACAATACAGCCAATTATTAAGTATTAAATATCACTTTATGTTTTAAGTGTAGGTTAAAATTAGAAATTATTTAGGTACTATTTTTATCCAACATTAATCAATTAATTCATTGTGACAAAATAAATCGTATGATAAAAATAAATATAAGTGCTTCATTAATAGCATATTGGGTTCGTTATTTATTTTTATTATCTATGATTTCGAAAGTACAATTAAATAACTTTCAAAAATAATAAAATTAAGTTTATTGAAAACAAAATTTTTATGAAAACAGCAGACCGAAGGTTTTACCCCTTTATAATACTTGTCTTACCTTTTAGTGGTAATAATCAATTATTGATTGTCAAATATTATTGATATATCGATAGCCACACTGCAAAAGCATTTAAGAACAAAAACTTAAAATTTTCAGGAAACGAAAAAAGCTGCATAGGTTTTGAACTACATAATGTTTTCGGGTCAATTTTTTTTTTTTTTTTTTTTTTGCAGGCCTAAGACAAAGATATAATGTTTGATTTATTTTTTTCGATAGTATTTCCGCCAAATCACTGAGCTTCCAATGCAAAGGACCCAGGTTCGAACCCAGGCTCATGGCAGAAAATTTATTTATCTGTATCATTGGCCGTGGGGCGACCCTGGGTCGGGAGACCCTCCTGAGGCATACCCAGCCTCTATAAAGTGGGTACCCTTATTTAAATAATTGATTAAGGATGAAAACCTGGCGGTTGAGCGTGATTTCGGTCAAATCACCTCCTTGCACAACCGTTGACCTAGAAACAGTGCTTTCCCTAAATAGCACTGAGCCCCAGACTCTTCATGGGTTGTAGTGGTACAGGTATTTCTACCAAACAATCTTTTAGACACATTACTTCTAACTTATAGCTTTTTTGTTACTTTGAAAAAAAAGGTATAAGTCAGGTAAAAACAATTAAGTTTATTAAAGTAACACCCATAACTTTGTTAATAATGATCAAATCGTGAAAGGAAAGAAATCTGTTTCCAAAATGTAGAGAAACGATACTTCAGACGAAAATTCGTAAAACATTTGATAGAAAAGCGAGTATTTGATCTCACGGGTTATTCACTTTTCTGTCTCCCACTAAAGTTTAGTTTTTGACTTACTCAACTACATATGGGTATGGTTGTTTGACTCACGAATGTTTGGTAAGTTTTAGGCAACCTGCTGATTTGTAGATCACTTCGTTTCTGAGCTTCTTGAGATTTTGAAGAGCCATTAGTTTGAAAAGATTCACCTACAATGAAATTAGAGTTATTTTTTCGTACCGTGTTAAGTTTTCCAATTAATGAAATCAATTATCTGTCTCTCATTATCTGGAATTCGACGGCATTGTAGTTTTTTTCCAATCAAGCTCATTTTGAAGTTGCCAGGTTTTGAAGGCCGTTCAATATCATACTCCCATCTACCACTCTCTTCTTTGCTTCGTCTAGAAGAGAGCACCTTTCGAGTTCGCTGTGGTACAGAATTTTCCAATTCCTATCCAGTTGAAGCCGGTGTTCCTCAACGTAGCGTCTTGGGCCCCGTCCTTTATATCCTTTTTACCGCTGATATCCCTGTCCATCCCAATACCTTCCTGGCACTATTTGCTGATGACACCGCCATCCTATCATCCAACTCAGATCCCGAAATAACATCTTTAAATCTGCAAAGGCACCTCTCCCTGATTGAGCACTGGTTTAATAAACGGTGAATCAAAGTAAACGAATCCAAATCCAAAAACATTACCTTCACACTCCGGCGCAGTTCCTGTCCATCAGTCCATGGTTAGCAATGCCGGACTCAGAACAGGGGACTCGGGCATTTGTCCAGAAGTCGGGAAGTCCTCGCCACTTATTAGAAATTAAAAAAAAATAATACAAAGCGTATGAGAAAAAATAATATTAACCTAATAAAGCTAATTGATACTGTAATCTGTACGCAAAACGCTTTATAGATTCTATATTTACATGACTACCTTTCATTGAGGATTTCATTACTATTTTTCGACAATGACACTAACTTTATAACCTTCTACTGTAACTTACAGTTTTTTATATCACAATTTTATGATTTTTAAGTCACAGGTTTTTACAGAACGCCATTGAGAAGAAATGAAACAACATAGATTTCATTTTGTGGGATCAGAATATGCGTTACGACAAGATTGACCAGAAAAGCTCAAAACCTCATTTTCCAAAGAAAATGCAGTTTTGCATTGTGGCTGTCGATATAGTATAATACCAAGGAATAAAATTGTATATTCCAGAGAAAATTCTTTTGTGAATAATTATATAGATATTTCAAACATGTTTATAATTTGGGTCTACTACTAAGATTAAATTGGATGTTAGCATAAAATACGGCACATGATTACTAACTAGATTAATTACTAATCATATTTATTTTACAACAACAAATAAAAACTTTAGAGATATTAAATACATAGCAATATTAGTAGCTATACATTAATCACTAACGTATTAAGATAAACTGATCATTAATCACTAGCGAATCCAGGATTTAATTTTGGGAGGGCTTCAGCCCTGAAGGTTTTTTTTTCATAAATATATATAACGATAATTACATTGGAAAAACAGAAAGATACTAACTACGTATATGAAATGGTGTTGAAGTTATTCTTGAAGCCCTATTAAATGTAATTAAACGAGCAATAATACTTTAAGACATAAGTTTTGTATATTTTTTACCATAAAACATGGTTACATTTTACCATTTTGGGGGTGCTTCAGCCCGTAAGTCCCCCCTCCCTCCCGAAAATACGTCCGTGTCATTAATGTATAGAGTAAATGATGTTCTATATTTACCTTGTCAGGAAAGATAAATTATACTGATTTATAAATTTTACAACAGTTTATCGATTAGTTTGTTACGAAATAGTATAAACGCTTCATTTTTTTCTGACTATCAATCTTTGATATATTTTTAACACAAATACCGTTATTTGACTCTATTTTATAATGTAATACATACACCGCAATACTACATACAAGTCGTTCTATTATAATTTAGAAATGGTTCTTACAATCGTATCTTACTGATAATAATAAACTGATCAAAGTTCAAACGGTTCATAGTATAAATGGATAAATAATAATTAATCGCAATGATTAAAACGATCTTTTTCAATTACAAACTCTCGAGAGGCGTTAAAACAACATTCCCATAACGAAAATCATTATTACATCAACGCTAACAGGAATATTACACGTTCGTAATTATCAGCACCACGTTTCCATTCTTCAATTAAGACACACGTACGTGTTACGTGACTTGCAACGTTTATAATCGCGATGCATTATAGAAGTGTTGCGAAGGTTTTTTTTATTTCCATTTCCATCGAACGGACTTTCCTTTATAAACGTAAAAGGGAACAAACATGCTATAATAAAAATAGAACAAAAAAAGAGGCAATCGTGTTTGTAAGATTTAAGATATCCATTAATCAGAGAAATAGGTTAAATATGAGTTATTATGACGAATGGATCAATACAGAGAAAATGTACATACTTAGAACGTATCTGAAAGAATATCGAGGGAAAAAATGAAAACAACAATAAGAAAAATATCGAAAGGAATTCTAGACATAAAATTTAATGAGAAAAGAACCTTGTTATTATGGAGAGAAATTTTATGTTTTTTTTTTTTAAATGTGGAATCGTATGCACTTATGAGCTAAGGTTATTATGATGTATTGATACGACCGAGAATGTTTTATATTATTAATTTAAATTTTTTTTTTACTTTAATTAATTTATTTTTAAACATATTTTATAAATATGACGAGACAGAGCCTTATGGCCAAGTTGCTATCTCATCCTTCAAAATAAGCCATTGGCTTTCCATATCTGTCAGTCGGTCTCAAGTTATATCCTGTTCAAATATATAAATAGCAAGCCAATATATTTAAAAAAGAGTAGTTCCTTAATAAAAGTTTACGTTCCCTGGCAAACTTTGACATTGATAGTATATATATATATTTATAGACCATATAGATCTTTTGCCACCATAACAAGCTTACTACATCTCAGCCTTTCTTGGGCTGTTTCATTCCATTTATCTGCTCGCAGCTATGTTGATCTTTGTCTATTCTATCTACCTATCTGATTTTTGGCCTTCCACGTGGTCTTTTACCATCTATTGAGTCTTCCAGATGGATTGCTACGAGCTACATGCCCCACTCATCTAAACCTCCGTGCCATCATATCATGGGATATTGATTGACCTGTTTCTGTAAGCAGTTCTTTATTGGTCTTTCTTCTCCGAGTGTTAGTACTCTGATCTCAGATCGCTCCGATTATCGTGAGGAGCATTTTTCTCTCAAATCTTTCAAAACTTTTTTCTAGGGTGTTGGTTAGTATCCAGGTCTCACAGCCATATATTAGAACTGGTTTTATTATAGCATTTTATATCCTTAATTTGAGACTTTTTGGGATTTCACTACTTTTGAAAGGGAGAAGAAAGAACTGTTTGCGCTAGTTAAACGCAGGTCTATTCCTGCCCGTTGGTCATTAATGGAGGTTATTGTGGTGCTCAGGTATTTAAATTTTTCTACTCTCGGGTATCAATTTTTTTTGTTTTTTATTTACTTGTATGCCGATCTGCTCTGCCTCTCTTATCAGTGTTGTAGGGAGTTCCTCAATGTCTTTTTGATTACTTCCAAGTACAGCTATACCATCTGCGTATCCAAGGATTTTATAATTCATTTCGACGTGGACATTTTCTTATGATGTTACTATTATTTACCTTCTACAGGACTAAGTTGAACAGCATCGGTGATAGTCCATTTCCCTGCCGTAAGCCCGTGCGAACTTTGAAGCCTTCATATGCTACATATGGGGTCATTTGTACAAGCCTCTATCAATATCACTAATTTACCGGAAATTCTCCGGTATATATATATGTATATATATACATTTGCTAAGCAACTACCATCCTATTATAAGTGTTACAGAAGTTTCTATTTCAGTTTTTCCATTTAACTCTAAGAAACAAATAAAGAGTAGACAACCTATCGACATCGCACTTTCTCAGTCTTTTCTTTGTCAATGTATCGTTCCGTGGTGTTATCTAAAGAATAATATGGTATTATTAACGTTATCAGTCTCCTATTCATTTTATTGAATATTTTAAAACTGCCTTTATGCCATTTGTAAGGCTCTAACGTACAAAAACCACTCTAGAACCGCTAAAGCTGCTGATTTACAGAACTGTACTATACAGTAGTGAAACTTGGGTAATGATGTCTGCTAGAAAGAATAAGCTTAGAATATGAGAAAGAAGAATATTGTTGAAAATATTTATACCTAGAATCAACTTCGAGTTGAAAGAGGTATGTTCCTAAGCAAACATAGAGGACGTTATTAAGAAAAGAAAACTTGGACACGTAGATGCCTACGTCAAGGTTACCTAAGCAAATGTATAGTCACCTGGAGGTTCTCGAAGGAGAGGTAAACTTCCAAAACGATGGCTGGATGTGGAAGAGGATCTACAAGAGGGCCTAAACGTCAGACGATGGCTTACCAAGGCTAGGCATAATTGACCGTAACGCCATGTAGGGAGTGAGGGAGTGAATATTTAATATTATTTTTAGAAAATTGAATTAGTTGGAAGAACATAGATATGATCGCTAAATTGCTGAAGGCTTTATAGACTTTTTGGCATCTTAATGCTGTCACATGGGCTTTGCAATTTATCTATAAAAAATGTTATGAATGAATATTTTATATTTCATATTTTTTACTTTCACTTACGTATATATGTAATATATAGTAAGTGTAAGTATTGCGATCGAGAAAATTTTTGAATCTGAGTTTTCGACGGATTTATACGTTTTGAGGTACCCTGAGTCGAAATGACCAAGTCCCGACAAATGGTCTGTTTGTCTGTGTGTTTGTATGTTAGCAGTCTAGCTCAAAAACGAAAAGTCCTATGAAACTGATATCACGTATTTAAGATAGATATATGTCTTAGTTGTGACGGCAAATTTTTCCTCAAAATCGGCTAACCGGAAGTGCCACTTTATATCAACGCTGAATCACATTTTCACAGTTTTCTCAAAAACGGCTTTAACGATTTTGATTAAACTTGGTATATCATTGTATAATTAAGTGGTCTTTAATATAAATTAGGTCTTATCCTCATTGATGTCACTTTACAGGGCTTAAATTCCCAATGTTCATATACGTCTTCCCTTAAAGTACCTTTAATATGGTTTATTTTAAAAAGATAATTATT